ACCACCCAGCGACTGCCACGAGCACCACCTTCCCACCCAGCGACAGTCATCAGCCCTCCCTTCCTAACCAGCACCTCCCCACCCAGCGACAGTCACCAGCCCCACCTCCCTAACCAGCACCTCTCCACCCAGCGACAGTCACCTGCCCCACCTCACCACCCAGCGACTGCCACCAGCACCACCTTCCCACCCAGCGACAGTCATCAGCCCTCCCTTCCTAACCAGCACCTCCCCACCCAGCGACAGTCACCAGCCCCACAAACCCACCCAACACCTCCCCACTCAGCGAGAGTCGCCAGCCCCACCTCACCACCAAGCGACAGTCACCAGCCCAACCTTACCTCCAAGACCCTGTGGCTGAAATAGTGAAATCTGAAGCTTTCATCCTATTGGGACTGAGATAGGGAAATCTGAAGCTTTTATCCCCTGGGGCTGAAATATGGGAATCTGAAGCTTTCACACCCTCGGGGCTGAGAAGGGGAAATCTGAACAACTCCACCCAGCACCAGTCACCAGCCCCACCTTCCCATCCAGCTTCAGTCACCAGCACCACCTCCCCACCCAGAGACAGTCACAAGCACAACCTCCCCATCCAGCGACAGTAACCAGCACCACCTCTCCACCCAACGAAAGTCACCAACCACATCCCCCACCCAGCACCTCCCCACCAAGCGACAGTCACTAGCACCACCTTTCCACCCAGCGACAGTCACCAGTCCCATCTCACCACCCAGCGACAGTCACTAGCCCCACCTCACCACCAAACACCTCCCCACTCAGCGACAGTCGCCAGCCCAACCTCCCAACCCAGCGACAGTCACCATCACCACCTCCCCACCAAGCGACAATCGACAGCCCCACCTCCCCACCCAGCGACAGTCACCTGCCCCACCTCACCACCCAGCAACAGTTACTAGCACCACCTTCCCACCAAGCGACAGTCATCAGCCCCAACTTTCCACCTAGCACCTCCCCACACAGCGACAGTCACCAGCCCCACCTCCCCAACCAGCGACAGTCACCAGCACCACCTCCCCACCAAGCGACATTCGCCAGCCCAACCTCCCCACCCAGCGACACTAACCTGCCCCACCTCACCACCCAGCGACAGTCAATAGCACCACCTCATCACCCAGCGACAGTCACCAGAACCACCTCTCCACCCAGCAAAAGTCACCACCACCACCTCTCCACCCAGCGGAAGTCACCAACCACATCCTCCACCCAGCACCTCCCCACCGAGCGACAGCCACTAGCACCAACTCTCCACCCAGCGACAGTCACCAGTCCCAACTCACCACCCAGCGACAGTCACTAGCACCATCTCACCACCAAACACCTCCCCACTCAGCGACAGTCGCCAGCCCAACCTCCCCACCCAGCGACAGTCATCATCACCACCTCCCCACCAAGCGACAATCGAAAGTCCCACCTCCCCACCCAGCGACAGTCACCTGCCCGACCTCACCACCCAGGAACAGTCACTAACATCACCTCCCCACCAAGCGACAGTCATCAGGACCACCTCCCCACCCAGCGAAAGTCACCATCCCTACCTCCCCACCCAACACCTCCCCACCCAGCGACAGTCACCAGCCCTACCTCTCCACCCAGCGACACTCACCAGTCCCATCTCACCACAAAGCGACAGCCACCAGCACAACCTTCCCACCCGGCGACAGTCATCAACCCCAACTTCCCACCTAGCACCTCCCCACACAGCGACAGTCGCCAGCCCCACCTCCCCACCCAGCGACAGTCACCAGCACCACCTTACCACCAAGCGACAGTCGCCAGCCCAACCTCCCCATCCAGCGACAGTCACCTGCCCCACCTCACCACCCAGCGACAGTCACTAGCACCACCTCATCACCCAGCGACAGTCACCAGCACCACCTCTCCACCCAGCGACAGTCACCAGCTCAACCTCTCCACCCAGCGACAGTCACCAGTCCCATCTCACCACCAAGCGACAGCCACCAGCACAACCGTCCCACCCAGCGACAGTCATCAGCCCCAACTTCCCACCTAGCACCTCCCCACACAGCGACAGTCGCCAGCCCCACCTCCCCACCCACCGACAGTCACCAGCACCACCTCCCCACCAAGCGACAGTCGCCAGCCCAACCTCCCCACCCAGCGACAGTCACCTGCCCCACCTAACCACCCGGCGACAGTCACTAGCACCACCTCACCACCCAGCGACAGTCACTAGCACCACCTCACCACCAAGCGACAGTCACCAGCACCACCTCTCCACCCAGCAAAAGTCACCACCACCACCTCTCCACTCAGCGAAAGTCACCAACCACATCACCCACCCAGCACCTCCCCACCGAGCGACATCCACTAGCACCACCTCTCCACCCAGCGACAGTCACCTGTCCCACCTCACCACCCAGCGACTGCCACCAGCACCATCTTCCCACCCAGCGACAGTCATCAGCCCTCCCTTCCTACCCAGCACCTCCCCACCCAGCGACAGTCACCAGCCCTACATCCCCACCCAACACCTCCCCACTCAGCGACAGTCGCCAGCCCCACCT